AGTAAAAAATGTAAACACACACAAAACAAAGGGCTGCACAGTATGGCTCCAGCGCGCACGCACCCATCCTCAAATGCGACTCCACGCAAACAGTTGTGTGCGTGCCATGCATATGAGTGTGTCTGGGGTGCGTTCAACGTGACGGATGCGGGGAGCGGCAAGGAGCACACAGCAGGGCAGCGGAAGCAAGTGAAGCAAAACACAATCATTGGTTTATCCTGTTTAGTACATCGGACCACAGCAGACGCACACAAGTCCCCGCGGTTGAGTGCTGGCACGCACAGCCCGCACACAATACTTTAGCCCAGAGTGGTGTACGCCAGCGCGGATACGGCGAGCAGCAGCGGGGCACACACCCACGCAGAGCTGCTGAGGCTGCCGTCGATTTCGCGAAGACGTGACGGTGCGCGGGTGGTCGTAGTACTAGGCGTCTCCGTAGTCGTAGTACTTGATGCCTCTGGCGCAGTGCTCGTCGTAGTTGACGCATTTGCCTTTTGAATTTGTTGGACTGGGTTAGCGGATCCACTTGGTTGCTCTTCTGTAATAGGCCCCGGAGGTGTTGGATCGGGACTCGCTGACGGAGCCGATCCCGTGCCTTTCCCTTTTCCGATATCGGTCGTCGTGCCTGAATTCGGTTCCTTACCGTCCGGCTTTTTTGACCCTACCGCATCGTTTTCACCTGGATTTTGTGTAGTACCGTTCCCGGAACTTAATCCTTGTGGCGTTTGGCTCTCACTTCCTTTCTGTTCTTTACTGGACGTACTTTGCGACCCCGGCCCAGCGGGCCCCGTAATTTGTGCCTGCTCCTGTACCGTTTTGGCCGGGTCTGCTGAGTCTGAAGTACGGGCCTCTCTACTTGATTCCTGTCCATTAATGCTCGCCGCACCTGCTGCTCCTTGCAAAACAGTCGGATCACGTGGTTCTTCCGCATCGGCCCTCGTACTGTCTTGCGTACCGGTTTCCGGGCTTTTCACTTTTCCGGAATCGCTTGCCGTGCCTGATGTCACTTCCTCAATGCCCGGGTTTTCTGACCCTACAGCACCGTTCTCACCTGGAGTTTGTACCGTACCGTTATCGGAACTTGACGTCTGTCCCGTAATGGACACACCTGGCGTGCCTTGACCATCGCCCCCAGAAGTTGGTGCCGCTGATGCAGGGGACGTTGAAACGCTACCCTTATCGGTACCTTCACCAGTCGCTGTGACGCACACGGACGGGCAGCAGCACAGGGCAAACACCAACAGGGCGCACAGCAGGCGGCACGTCATCATCATCGTGAGTGTGGTCGTTCAGTGGTGTGGAGCTGATCTGCACAGTGAGGGACATGGAGAGCAACAGGGGAGACGAGAGGTGCGGCAGACACACACAGAGGGCATACCACATGAGGAGAGGGCAGCAGCCAGGCATGCACCGTACGCCGCACACCACGCACGACACACACTCCAATCCACGGCAGCAGGCACACACACACGCAGCCCTGCCACAACACCAACACACAGATGGAGGAGGGAGAAGCAAACAGGAGCGGCACACAAGGCTCCACCGCATGTACATACGGCGAGAGCGGTCCGTCGTGTCGGCACCTTTCACGGAGGATACACACACACGAGAATAGGTGCAGCGCACACAGCAACACAACAGCAAAGTAACCATGAAAAGGAGAGATCACCGCACACCACTTGGATTGTTGGTCCACGGGAAGCGCAGCCACCACCGCAGCAGCAGCACACGCAAAGTCAAGCGCAAGGAATGGAATAAAGCAGCCATTTATTCGTGTTTCTTTTTGGAGGGTGGAAGGTGTCTGCATATGTTGTTATTGTTTTTACGGAGGGTAAACCTTCATGCCTGCATCGTGTGTTGGGGTTCCTGCAGTGTGCACAACTGTTTTCTTCTCTTGTGAATTTTTATTGTGTTGGTGCAGCCAATAATTCAATTTGTGTTGTTCCTGCTTTTCGCTGGTAAAAGTGCTGCAATAGATGTTTTTATTTCCTCCTTCGTTGCTGTGGCACCTGATTCCTCACCGTTTATTGCGGTGGAAATGAGAATATGTGAGTGGACTCCCACGCACCAGAACGCACCTTCGCTCCTATTTATTGGCGCACAGAAGGGCATGTGTGTTTGGTGGTGCCTCGACCATATATCCTTGTGGGCGTACATTCCCCTGCAGGCTGAGGGCGGGGTGACGCTCCGTCGCGGTGCACTTCCCTCGCATGCCGCCCACTGTGATTCATCATGCACCACCCCCTCACATATTCCGTGGTGCCACACCGTTGATATTATTGCAGCCGCTGTGATTCCGCGTATTTCGCGCATTTCATTGTGCCACAATACATCCGCTCGTGTGGCCGCTGCATCCAAACAGCGGTGCCCAACACCGTGAGCGGCAGTCCACATCCTTGCATGACCCAACGCAGTGGTGCTTGACTGTCAGCCAGGCGTCAGACAACACGAGAGTATTGTGCCGGCAGTACAACACACGGAGCTGCAGCGAATGACTCGGGCGGCGACGCATCTATTTGTCGCAAGGCAGTGAAAAGGAGTCGGGCAAAATAATGCCGGCTGCATGCACGACACCATACCCACAGCCAAAGCATGCGACGTGATGTGTGTTTCACTGGTGCTGTGAAATGCCTGCAGACGACGTCACTAGTGGAGGCACACCACCCATGATCAGCGGACAGACAATAATCGGCATGGGAGGCCACAAAAGGCAGCAACGACGCCAACAGCAGCAGCAGCTCTCTCACTCTCTCTCTCTGTTGCCTCCGAGAAGTAATTATTCCACCAGCCACAGCCGGCTGTGCCATCGTGACACTCCATGCACGTCGTGGCTGCGTCAACACATCCTGCTCCCTGCAGCGCCTCAAAAGATGCCTCACTCCGTCCACTAAGTGCATCGATGCGGGCCGTGCCTGGGCTGCTCGTCAGGACCACAGCGATGTGAGGGTCACCGAGTCGCAGCATGTTTGTTGTGACGTTGTTGCATGGCACCTGCACACACACGCAGCGCCTGCATCCCTCCCTTTTGTGTTCGTCCTCTGCCGGAGTCGTCACACACACGGGCAGCAGCAAATTCATTTCATCCTCGACAATCCAAAATCAACACCGACATCCCTCGCGACGCAAAGGTCTCGGTTGCCAGCACGGACCTCCTGCCGCTCTGCCATCGACGCCGAAACACGGCACAGTGCACGCACTTATTTTCTTCGTGTTCCGTCAGCCGTTTGCTTCACACATTCTCCGACGGGCTGACGCCCACAAAAGCACGCCACAAAAGCCACTGTGATCACACAAGCTCTTGCGATGAGCGTCTGTGTGTGCATGCATCCGCTGCTCACACGTGCTGGCAGGGCAGCCTGCAGCCGGTGCCCTCGTGCCAGTCCATCGGCTCCAGCATGGGAAAGAGAAAACGGCCAATTCCTCGTGTACTTATTCCCACCGGCAGTGCCAACACGCTGGTCGCCAGCCGTCATTCCTCAGCACATCCAGGAATGCTGAAAAGTGACGTGGAACCGTCAGCCAGCAATGCCACAATCCCCGCACACATGTCGGCTCCACCAGAGAAGACACACAAACTACACACAAAACCCCTCACATGTTTTCCGAACATCATTCCAACACGCCGCGACATGCCAAACAGAAGTATTCGTCACTCCATGCACCTCTCTACACAATCAAATAGTCCATGCACCATGCACGGCAGCAGTTCACACCCGTCTAAACAAGTGTTCCTCGGACCAGTGTTATCCACGTGCTGCAGTGGGAAGTAAACAAAAGAGACGGGCCGCCAAACCCCAAAAGAGTGCCACGACTGGCCGCAAGTCAACGGAACGCTGCCACTCAAAACAATTCAGTCCTCATGCCCTCAACCTCCCACCTTCTCCCACAAAAGCCCCAAGAGCTGCCAATCAAGCGCGCCGTCCAACGAAGTCGCTGTGCAACACCAGGAGGAATCGCAGTGCCACCTGCTGCCATCCGGGTCCGTTGTGGACGCCATGATGAGTAGAAACGCCCATTGGTGCTTCGAAACGACGCTGCACACCTGCGACGCATCACACGGTTTGAGACGCACGTGCCTCACCATCACCACAGACGCCCACGCGCCGTCGGTACGCCCTACATCGTCAAGGAAGCAAAGGATACGTCAGGGTGGCAGCAAAGCACTCGCTGGCAATTCCCGTCGCAGGCATCACCACAAGCAGCTCCAGCAGCGCTGCAGACCGTGGGGTGCCGTGGATCAACTGACGCATGGCGTATGTGGAAAAGAGAAGGACGTGGTGGCTTTACAAGGATACGAGTAGCTGACACTTTTAGAACAAGAAAGAAAACAATGTGGGAAAACACAAAGAGGAATCAGGCGTCCGCAGTCAAAGCAAACCAGCAATCAAAAAAAGTAGGATGGGTGCACTCAACCACAACACAGGCAGAGGATAAAAAATACCAACAACAAAAGCCGAAGCGTGGGGGCGTCCACCCAGCAGTGGGGACGCGCAGCAACAGGTGGGACGACCAGCGCACACACTCTCATTGCTCCCGTAAAGCAAAACACACACACACAGGGAGAGAAAGAGAGGTCGCCCACTCAATGCAACGGAAACAAAAAAACAGTTACGGTGCTCCACCCATGCAGCCAGGCAGGACGGCAGCGGTGCGTGTGGTGCAAAAGAGAGCACCAACGGGCCTGCATGGGTGTGCATGCATATATACAATGGGCACATTATGTGTGTGCTCCGTGGGGTGAGGTGAGGGCGAGAGTCCATGCAAGGGGACACACACAGAGAGAGAAGGACGAGTGTGTGTGCGGGCGGTGCACGGCTCTCTCTCCCTCACTCTCACGCGGCCACCACCGCAGCAGCAGCCGCACACGCAACAACAAAAAGAAGCAAAAGAGGGGAGGTGGTGTGGGAGACCGCGGTGCTGCCGTCACTGCTGCCAGGCGTTGCCGTACCATCTGTTCTGGCGGTAGCTGCTGCTTTCGCTGTCCGTGGGTTTGTCTCACTGGCTGTGGGCGCAACGTTGGTATGAGTGGCTTCGGGGTCGTTGTGTGGCCCTCTGGGGTTGGGCCCTTTGCTGTTGTCGTCATTCCCATCCGCCTTACTCTGGCCATCACCACTGCCACTTGTAGAGTTGGATGATGCCGTTACTTCCGCCGGGCTGCCGGTAGGTCCACCCTTCAGATCCGGTAAAACAGTGCCTTGACCCTGTTGCTCTGCCACACCATCTCCAGAAGTAGGCTCCGTCTCTTCAGGCTCCTTTTTGTTTGGTGACGGTGGCGTTTTTTTCCTTTCTTCTGTCAAAGTTTGTGAGTCTGTTTGTGCTGTTGGGCTTCCTCCTGCCGGAACTGCCACTGCTGTTGGTCGTTCTTCTCCTACCGTTGCTGGCGCTGGCGGTGGTAGTGGCGGGCTGCTGGCGGTGGAAATCACGGTGGAAGGACCTTGCGCCTCCGCGTCACTCCGCCGTTTCTCGTCTCCAGTTGCAGCCCTACCAGCAGCTTCACTTTCTGGTTTTTCTTGTTTACTGGGAGAGTCTTGTTGTGCTTCGGGTGTTGACTCCGCCGGTGCCGACAATTTGGGCAATTCGTTCCGTGCACGATTTGCTTCTGACTGCTCACCTGCTTCTTGAGGTTTCCCTCCCTTTGTGGATGCCGCAGCGCCGGTCTTCTCCAAGGCATCACTCTCGTCGGTGATGGAGGGTGGGAAATTACCACCAGCAACAGGAGCGCTCAAAGATGCATCGCCACCTGGACTGCCAACATCAGGTTGACTGCGACCACCAGAAGAAAAGGAGGCCAAAATGAAACCTTTGCTTCCGTCAGAACCTACACTTCCTGTAGGAGCTCCAGGAGAACTGCCACCATCACCGAGAACAGGAGATGGGGACTTAACATCCGAAGCAGGGGACTTCAAAGAGCCACCAACACGTGCTTTAGAACCTCCATTTGAGCCACCACCATCGCCACCAGAAGCCTTGCTGCCACGAGCTTGACTGCCACTGGCACCCCCAACGCCACCAGGACCGCCAGCACCGTCGTCTCTACCGCCTCCACCTTCACCTCCGCGACCAGGAGGAGAACCGGCACCACCGAAATCAGCACCTGAATTTGGAGCTAAATCTGATTTATTTTCTGCTGTACCAGTCACCAATGGGTCAGTCGAAGCTTCAACGGCAGTGATGGACAAGACAGATCGTAAAGGCAGCGTCAGCGCAGTTTTGTCACATCCGCTCGGCGTGTACGATTTATTAGCATCCTACACTCCCGACGCCATGCAGCCGC